CACAGACATCGGCTTTGACCCTACCGGATAACCAGGAGATCGAAGAAGATGATGATCAGAGGATCCCTCGATCCTTCGTGACTCCCGATGATTCCGACGCTACCAAATCAACGATTGAGGAATTGGAGCAAGCCACACTAATCGAGCACTGGCCCGAATAGAAGATATACCTGGGAATGGAGTTGAGTCCCGAACTCAGGAAGAAACTTATTAAATTTCTTATCGATAACATTGATTGTTTTGCCTGGTCCCATTAAGATATAACAGGGATCCCACCGGACATAATGATGCATCGGCTATGCTTGGACCCTAGGTTCAGACCAGTGAAGCAAAAGAGAAGACCTCAGTCCGAGGTAAAGCACACATTCATAAATGACGAGGTAACCAAACTTCTCAAGATAGGGTCCATTCGGGAGGTGAAATATCCCGAATGGTTAGCCAATGTAGTTGTAGTGCCTAAAAATGGGAACAAACTTAGAATGTGTGTGGATTATAAAGATTTGAACAAAGCATGCCCTAAAGATTCCTTTCCGCTGCCCAACATCGATCGCATGATCGATGCCACGGCCGGCCACGAGATCCTCACTTTTCTCGATGCCTATTCCGGGTATAATCAAATCCAGATGAACCCGGAAGACCAAGAAAAGACTTCATTTGTCACCAAATATGGAACATATTGTTATAATGTGATGCCATTCGGGCTAAAAAATGGAGGAGCTACTTGCCAACGCCTAGTAAATAAAATATTCGAAGAACAAATAGGTAAATTAATGGAAGTTTATATTGATGACATGCTAGTTAAGTCCCTGCGCACAGAGGGCCATTTGACCCATTTGCAGGAAACGTTCGAGATTTTGAGGAAATACAACATGAAGCTCAACCCCGAAAAATGTGCTTTCGGGGTCGGTTCGGGCAAGTTCCTCGGCTTCATGGTGTCAAATCGGGGAATCAAAATTAACCCCAATAAAATCAAGGCCATCGAAGACATCACCATCGTGGACAGCGTGAAAGTTGTACAGAGGCTAACGAGACAGATTGCAGCCTTAAGCCGATTCATTTCGAGATCGTCAGATCGAAGTGACAAATTTTTTTCTTTACTCAAAAAGAAGAACGATTTTGCTTGGACCCCGGAATTCCAACAGGAACTAGAGGAACTAAAATGATATCTATCGAGCCCACCACTACTTCATACTCCAAAAATAGACGAAAAACTCTGCTTGCACTTGGCAGTATCGGAAAGCGCAGTAAGCGGTGTCCTAGTTCGAGAAGAGCAAGGTCTTGAGCTAGCTAAAGGCTTGGGAGCAGAAGTCATTGAAGCCAAGTGTGATTCTTTGCTGGTGGTAAATCAAGTAAAAAAAACCTTCGAAGTTCGAGAAGATAGAATGCAAAGGTATTTGGACAAACTACAGGTCACTTTGCACCATTTCAAAGAATGGACTTTACAGCATGTTCCACGATAGCAAAACAGTGAGGCAGATGCACTTGCAAATTTAGGATCATCGGTCGAGGAAGGCGAGATAAGCTCGGGAACTGTCGTTCAACTCTCGAGATCCGTGATCGAAGAAGGTCATGCCGAGATAAATTCTACAAGCTTAACCTGGATTGGAGGAATAAGTATATTGAATACTTAAAGAACGGAAAGCTCCCATCGGACCCTAAGGTGAAGCATTATTCAACCATAAGATCACGTTTTAGCTTGACGGTAAAATAGGTTTATAGCTTGTTTGGCCAAGCTTTAAAAATCAGCTTAGTTTGTGTATACGGTCGAAATAGATTTCGGCCTTCGTACGATTGATCGAGTTCGAAATATAATCTATCGAAATAAGACTTCGAGGTGGGTTCCGAAGATGGTACAAACAGGCTTTGAGTCCGAGGGGCCGATCAATGTCGAACTCGATATTATTATCAAGCTCGAATTCAAATCGAACTATGATGCAAAATAAAGTTCTCGAGCTTATGATCCAGAGACCGACCAACATTGACCCCGAATCAATTCAAGGGTCTGAGTCAGAATTGATCTCAAGCCAAGATCGAGAGCTCGAGGCAAGACCAAAAACTCGAGTCAATATCGAGCTTATAGACAGGAGCCGTTGTAATCCCATTAAAGGAGAGAATCTTGGCAGGAATTATGGAAAAGCTGATTTATCATGGGTCTCCCACTACGTATTTTTAATGATATCTAAAGTAAGATCCCTCTATTATAAAGGAGATGGTTATCATTTCTGTAGGGGGCAAGTTTTTGCTAACATTGTAATTCAAGCACCATATTCTCCTATAATAAAGAGTTGTTCTTTCAAGCTTCTTAATTTGATTCCACTTATTTAGTCCTAGAATTCGTCTTCTTTACAACCTTGTCTATTTTTGCATTCTTTGCAATCCATACTTGATATTTCTATTTATCCTTACGATTTGTATTAAGCTACACCACATATCCTTAGAACTGCGTACAAATTCAACTTTATCTGTTTTTCGGGTAAACAGTTTGAAAAGTATTTTTTCTCAAAAGTATCTTTGGTGAGCGGTTTGTGTTTGGTTAATTATTTAAAAAAATACTTCTGAGTAACAATTAGTGTTTAGCCAATCTTTTAAAAAGTGCTTCTAAGTGTATTTTTTCAAAAATACTTTTGGAAAGAAGCTACTTTTTTTATTTCTCCAAAATTGTTTCTACTTTTATTTAAAAGCACTTTCTTTTCTTCTAAAAGTTTGGCCAAACACATCAACTTTACAAAAAAATATATTTTTTTAGTTTAAAAAAAAGTGTTTTTAGTTTTGGAGAAACTTGACCGAACAAACTAATATTACAGCGTAAAAGAAGTTTTTCAATAATGTGAATCCACTCCAAATACATTTTATTTTCTCTCTTTTCTTCTCAAGCAATTTGTTGAAATCTCAAACTCTGTAACAGAACTAAAAAGAACAAAAAGTGCAGGCAAGAATCAAGAAAGCCATAAGGAAAGATGCAAGAAACAGTATGATTGAAAAAGGGACCAAAGCTAACTAAATATTGTTTGACCAAAAAGCGTAATTTTCGGTTAACCCAAGAAATTTATAGAATGAAGGGTTAAAATTAGTTAAGGATAATAACTCTAGGTGTAAATCTTAAAGACGTGCGCAAGGTGGAGACAGATCTCGTAAATGATTGATGACAACAAGTACAATATATTCTTAAAATATGAGCAATAATGGAGGTGTAACTGACAATAAATAGCAATAAATGGCATTCAAATAAATAAGGAGAATGATTCACCCAATAATTGATGGATTGGACGAATATTTCTCCTGGCAATGATGAGTGACAGAAAGACCCAAGATTTGTTTGAACAATCCTTGGATCTAGTGGAAAGATGTGGAATAATATGAGCAAGAATCTTTGTCAAAAACTAATCTTCATATTTTTATATGTGGGAGAGAATCTTCTACTGAAAAGTGTTCTTATCAAAATGAATATTCCATACCCCTATCATTATCTCCTCTCTATATATCTGGAACATTTTCCTAAGAAACCCTAGTAGTACAACTGTAGAGAATATCCATTAGAATATTCCCTTTTAATATCCTACCCTGACAAACTGGCCGTTACAACTCCTATCATCAATATTCAGCCTCGACCTCGACCCTTGTCGACACCTCGATTACGGCTCTCGTCGGCATCGCGACTACAACTCATGACTGACACCTCGGCTAATGACTTTGCTGCATCCTGGTCCATCTCGACCGACTCTGTCTTTAATGCCATATTACGCTACATGTCCTTAGGGCAGATTTTGGCCTATACAAATATCATACCTAGTGAACAATGATTTTGAAGCCTCACTTTGATCCCTGTATGCGGGGGTAATAGTATATTCAACCTTAACTACTGAATTCTTATTTAGTGATCTGCCTTTTTTACCCTAATTCAGGAGAAATATTTCATTTAAAATGGACAGAAATAGGATGCATTAAACACTTCATAAAAAATATATTTTAAAAAAAATGTCCAAAGAGGCAATATTTCATCTTCGTTGGAATCTCTTTTTTTTCCTTCTCTTTTATGGATGACTAATATATTTGAAGATTAGATGACAATGAAATAACCTCTTCATCTATTGACTATTATGATATAAATATGATACAGGTGTGATATAAAGAGCTGTTGAGAAGACAAAAAGATTAGTCATGGGAAGAGAAAAAATGATCAGTTAGTAACTACTAATATATTACTGATTTCTAGTGTAGTATACACTTGAAATATAACCCGGGTATTTAACTCAATATGTATAAAACTAGCCTTTTAATGAATACTGCTTGAGACCTATATAAAGTTCAAGGCTTTGTTGCACCTAGGTAGAGCGAGTCTACTTAGCGAACGGGTAAAAGATAAGACCTATTGATCAATATGAAAAAATAGTTAATCCACCTCCTTGTCTGGATGTTGTGTGGAAGGGCTTGACTAACAAGGATTATGGTAGGATGAATAAGAGTTTTCCACCCTTAACTAAAGATCTCGCCTTCAGGTCCTTCGATAGGGAATGAGACGGAAATTTGAATTAGTCGAGTAAGTGGTTTCGGAATATCAGATGGTTATACCAAAAAGAATTTTAATGGCTTGCAATCATAAATAATTTATGACTGCATCAATAAAATTAGGTTGTGTACAGCAACATATTATAATAATGCAGCTTTTGTCACTACACCGTATGAAATTGGAGCCGCTACTCCCAAGTAAATAATCAAATGTTGTTGCTCGGTGGCAATTTTTTACAGTTAAAATACAGTCAAATGCAGAGAAGAAAAGTGGGAAAGAACTAAATAACTAGTGACCTGAAACATAATACATGTAAAATTTTCACTACATTAGCCCTAGATCAATAAAAATTTCTTAGCAAGAGAAGACCTGAATGAGATAGTAACACATTGCCTTCCAGTACTAGGCAGTAGAAAAGTAATACACAAAATTTGTAACAAAAAAAAACTAAGTCAGAGAAGCATCAGCACTAAAGTAAGGCTTAATCTTATTTTCACCTTGTCCTGAGCCTTGGAACCTTTCCAGCAATGATATTTTCAAAGTTTCTAATCCTCTTCTCAAGTTTCAGAAGATCAAGATCAATCTTTTCATATCTACTGCTCCCTTTTTCATGGTTGTCAATGTTCTCAATCTGCATATTTCCCTCAGTCTTGTTGATACCATTTGCAGTTCTCTTAGATGCTTCCACTGAAGCTTTAGCAAGACTAGTACTCGAACATTCTGCATATCCATCACTCCTATTTGCATTTAGACCCTCACTACCAGGCAAGTTGAGCTTACAGTCACCTTTATCATTCTTGTCCATGCTCTCTTGTGGCATATTTTCTTTAACTACATATGCCTCATTTCCATCTAATTCCTCTGATTTTCCATTTGTAGTCTCAAGTTTCTTTGGTTTTGATTCAATTAAAGCCTCCCTTTCTGTGGCAGTTAATTCATCATTCCAAGGTGAAGAAGATTGGCAGTTGGTGGTAGGTAGGAGTTCTCGATTATCAGCTACAGTAATTCCTTTCTTTTGGAGCCTCCTCTTGCGTGAAAATTCTGATATCGTTAAATTGTCATCATCATCTGATGATTCCACATCTCTCATTTCACAATCTTGAATATTCCCATTTGTTCTAACTTCATAACTTTTCCGCGCACATTCACAACATACTAAGGCATTTAGTTTTTCGTTGTGTCCCCATAACATTTCTGGTATTCTTCCATGAGTTTTAGATTGCTGTCCCTTGATTACATGCTTAACTGCATCTTCAGGTGTAATCTTTTGGTTCTTCCACCACTCTAAGTATCGCTTGCTAACATCTGACTGGAAGAACCTGGAAGGTATGTAGAGTTTGGCATCCTTAATTGGTCTGTCATAATATCTCCAAGCATGATTCACACAACCGGGCACATCTTGATCGAATCCAAATTGCATTGATACTCTATGTGGGTTATACAGTTCTACACAATCCATTCCAACTAGTTCAGAAGCTCGAATAAGTCGAGCGAACATCAAGATTTCTCTTCCCACATTTGGTCCAACTACCACATATTCCTCCTTTTCCTTGTAAAATTTGTTGATGTCCCAATTCTTCACAGTATCAATAGCATAAGGACGCCACAAAAACAATTCTGCTGCAGAATCTATTGCACTCCTAGGATCCACACAACGTGCTTTTTTCACCTTATGCCATCTAGCTACTCTTGGCTCCCCAAAGTTGATGACACTAGGCTTAAGCAGCAAACTGGGAAATCTCTCCCATGCCCATAACTGAACAATATGAAGAGGAGCCCGAAGGATAAGATCCGACGTGTCTTCTATACATCTATAATTACTCTGTTCAGGGTGCTTAAATGAAGATATAATAAACTGTTTAAGCAACGTTAAATCCCTATAAATGCTAGCAAGAACAGCAGGGGCAAATGCCACTGGAATTCCTTGAGAAAGATGAATTGCAATAGGGAAAAGAGCTCTGTCCACTTTATAATAACTTTTGGAAGGGAGCACATACCTAGATAACCAAAGGGTCAAAAGTGCAATGTGCTCCAAATGCCCACCTCTTCCTGCAAAATGTTCCATCCAAGCATGTTGATAAACATTCCGTTTACGTGCTGCAATAACTGTAAAAGCCTCACTAAGAACTTTTTCCGTTTGAACAGACTCTTGGGTCTTTATAGGGTTCAAAACACAGTGACCCAAAACAGAGTAACCACTCAAAACTACCATATCCTCCAAAGTAACAGTTGCTTCTCCCCATGGTAAAATGAATGTGTTTGTCTCCAAACACCATCTTTCAGCAAGAGCAATGATCAAATCATTGTGCATACAAATCTTGAACGTGGAAGCTATAATAGCTTCAAAGATTCCAGCTTTCTTCCATATTTCTTGATATAAAGGTTTTAACTTATTGACCCAAGTAGCCCATTCCTTCAAGTGTGAAACTGAAACACCGCCCCTGAACTGGACCTTTAGTGAAGTACTCCTTCTCAGTTCTTGAATATTGGGTCTAGAAGGGGAAAATGGGAACTTTTCAGCAGAGGGTAGTGTTGGTTTCAGAAAATGGGCAACTCTAATAATGGGTATTACTTGTTCATAATCAACAAGTGAAACCATGAGCTCTTCTCTTTCTTCCATGATTAATGCATCTTCTGATGAATCCACCATTTTTGAGTATTAAGGTTTTTTCCTTTCCTCTTTTTTTTTACAACTTTTATATCAGGGTTTCAAGAATGGAGTAGGACAAAATATATAACCAATAAAAAGATAGTTATGCACCTGCTGGCTTGCTCTCTGTATTGTGCCCCTGCCAAATTCTTGTTTTTATTGAGGAAAATAATAGGACAAATGCCGCTGAAAAGTTTCTGGTTGTTTTGGTCTGTACGATCTTTCAGTCTGGGTATTAAAAACAAGCAATATCAGCTCAAAATTCTATTTTTAGGCAAACAATCACGTAGCTGCATTAGCAACACTCTGCAGAACATGCCCAAAAAAAGGGGGACAGCTGACACATTTTCATAACAGAAAAGTGTAAAGTTTTTAAAAAGTTGAAATTGTCTTAAGGATTCGAACTTTTATGAAAGAGAATAGTAGTAATATTTTTATTAGGCTTATGATTCTTGTTATTTTTAAAAGTCTTTATCTATATTTATAACGAAAATTAATAATTGAAATTTTCTTTGTTTTTCCTTACTTCATTATCTCAAACAATTAAAGGAGCAAAAGAAATTCTGTTCTTCGGTAGCTTCTTTAATTTATTTTTAAGGCTTATTTGCAAATTCATTCCCTTAATGATATAAGTTTTGAAGTTAATTAACATTTTAATATTGAAAATTTGCATGATCTTTCATGGTTATTATGGTGAAGTTAAAAAACTACTTCTAGTTCATATTTGTTTCAAAGAACTCTGTCATATTTTTCATCCCTTTTCTATCACCTTTTCATCTTCTCAAGATTATTTTTTGACTAAAGAACCCTTTTCATCTCCACTTAACCTTTATCATTGACAGATATTATTATCAAAACTAATAGATGAAACCTGGAGGCTAACACTTGTGGTTAACATGCTCAAAGGCATGATGTCTCAAAATAATTGGATTTGCCAGCTGCCGAAGAAGACTGTTCATATAGCCGAACAAATCCTTTACGTGTCTTTCTTGTGCCAAAAGTGCTCGAGTCCATTATTCGTATGGTCACTAATTAAACTAGGACAAAGGTTCAAATATGTTCCTGTAGTATATGAAATTGAGCATATTTGTCATTCGTTAATACTTTAGCTCAAATATGTCATTACCGTCACATAGTTGGTCCATATATGCCCTTAGAGTTACAGATTTAGCCCATATATGCCCTTTTCGAAACGAAATCCACCCAAATTAATTAGTTCTTTCGTTAATTGTATTAAAGTGTATTACAAACACTATTTCCTTTTTATTAGTACTTTTTTTCTTTACCTTTCTCTTTTCTTTCTTCTTTTTTCTTTTCTTCTTTTTTTTTCTTTCTCCCTTATCCGATTTCTTCCATTACTGATGTCTTTTCCATTTTCGTCACCAATTTCACTTGACAAAACTCATGAATTTCAATTATTAAGAAAATTCTCCCATAAGAATATTTTAATATATCATATGTTTGTCAATTTTTAAATTTTTACTGAACAAATACTTAGTTCTAAACAATTTAACAAAGTAAGATTAAAATAATATTTATGTAACAAAACATCCAAAAAATCCAACAAAACTGAACAATCCAAACCGATATAATTGGTTGGTGTTATTTTGATAAAAATCGAATCAACTCGTTCCATGTACACCCCTAATTTTTTAATAGATCATAAATTTGTCAATTTTTATATTTTTACTGAACATATATTTAGTTCTAAAAAATTAAGGGTGTACATGGAACGGGTTGGTTCGGTTTTTATCAAAACCGAACCAAACCAATTATATCGATTTGGATTTTTTGGATTTTTTGTTATATAAATATTATTTCAATCTTACTTTGTTAAATATTTTAGAACTAAATATATGTTCAGTAAAAA